AGGCAGGTGAACAATTAGGAGGTAGCAGTCCAGAATTGAGAGGGATGTCCGTCTGACTGCTGATTTAGGCCCGATCCCCGGGATCAGGCCTAAACCGGCAGTCAGATATCCTCCCTGGGTCCTGGATTGGAGAGGGTACAGACTGGGCTGAGGGACTCCCCCCCCCCACCCCCGTGCATGCATTTCATGCACCGGGCCTCTAGTATTATAATAACAACAGTACAGTAGATTCTCTCTTAGTGAACTTCTATTTAATCAGCTTGCTAGATAAATGGACACTTGGTAAGACCCAGTGACCAATGGCCATGATATACTAACTGCGTGTGGTCATGAGTAAGGTTGGAAGCAGGGTGGTTAGAAGTGTCTAATTTGCCCAGGTACTTCTGCTTTAACCATTTGAGTTGTATGCTTACTGAAAATTAGTTGAGTTTATTCCAAATTTATGCCAGTTTTTCATAATGTAATTATATGATTTAATTAAATATTATATAAACTGATGAAATATACATGCAAAGTGAGTAGTTGCTGCAGTGAAATTTAGGCTGAATGCTTTTGGGAGACTCAGGAAAGGCAGGGTGCTAAAAAAGTCTGTCAAATTAGGTGGTGGTGAGAAAAAGTACAAGATGAGGGAAATTGTAATAATTAAGTTTCTACATTCAGATTGCTTTATATGTTTTGTTTTTCACTTAATTTTATGGAAAATTTCAACACATCTAAAATTAGAGAGTCTAGTATAATTAACATGATACTCTCATCACCCAGCTTCAACAATTATCCATACATGTTCCAGCTATACCTCACTCACTCCCTGCCACAATTATTTTGAAGCAAATCTCAAGTATCATATCATTTCCTCTCATAGGTCTTTTTTAGTCCTCATTCTACTTTAAAGGAACACACACTGGAAATTATTATGGATTTGACTTGTGCAAGCAAGATAGTACAAAAAAACAAAAGTTAACCCATACCTAATGAAAAGGTTGGGGGTAGAAAAAAATAATGAAATCCATGTATTTTGTGATAAAAAATATTTGTTAAAATATCTAAGGTATACAACATATTTTAATGATTGGTTATTTCAATCACTTTGACTAACCAATGAACTACTGAGTCTTACATATTGGATTAGAGAGTTTTTAGTATAAAAATGATGTAATATAATCTGCATGCTGAGAATGATTTACCTGCCAAGGTTAGCATGAGCCAAAATGTGCGTAATGCCATCTTTTCTAAGTTTATTTCATTTGAAAAAGGAAAACTCATGGTTTTCAGGTTTGTTTTATCTGAAAACTCATGGCTTTGAGAGCAGCAAAGATGATATGTTAATTGAGTTGTTTGCCCAACTCCAATTTCTTCTGTTAGTATAGCCAACCCTTTTCACATAGATGGAGTACTTCAGTGACTTTGTGCTCCACACCCAGCCCCAGATACACCCCAAGATGCCAACTCATTGCCTAACCACTGCTCTTTCTCAAGAATTCGAAATATGCATAGATCTAGTTAGAAAATAGACAGATGATGGACCTGAATGGCTGCTTTAGCCAAATTGGGCCATATAAAAGCAGAGGAAGCGAGTTGAGAAAGAGAGAGGAGGCAGAGATGAAAGAGGCTTTTTTTTTTAGACAATGAACAATCATGGTTTCTCATTTAAAAGGTAAATTTCCAGTTTCTAGGGTCCTGACTGGGCTTTGTTGGCTGCCCTTGGATTTCTATGAGATTGTTGCAGCCTTATATTAAATTCCTTTCTGTTTAAGCTTGCTTCAATGGGTTTGTGTTCCTTGAAACCAGTAATCATCACTGACTGGGAAACAGGATAACTTTGATATACAGGGTGCAAGTAGAGAATCAAGAGGCACAGACAATAAAACACCTCATAGTTGCCCTAGCCAGTTGGGCTCACTAGATAGAGCGTCCACCTGGGGACTGAAGGGTCCCAGGTTCGATTCCCGTCAAGGGCATGTACCTTGGTTGCAGGCACATCCCCAGTAGGGGGTGTGCAAGAGGCAGCTGATCGATGCTTCTCTCTCATTGATGTTTCTAACTCTCTATCCCTCTCCCTTCTTCACTGTAAAAAATCAATAAAATATATATTTAAAAAAACAACAAAAAAAACACCTCATAGTTTAAACCAAATGTAGTTTCAGACTAGGGTTTCTCATGGCAAGCCCCCATGCATGTGTGTATATGTGTATGTGCCCTGTATGTAGGGATATGTATGTATGACTTTAATATCAACTAGTACCCATGCTATCTATAAAGCACCCACAGCTGTGCCAGCTTAAGATACTTGATTCACATAAAATTGTTAGGTCGCCGAAGGAGGAACACACGAGGCTGGAGTGGTGAGGGATTACAAATTTATTGGATCATCTGCACACCAGGTGGCTGAGCCTGGATGGCTCCAGCATCCGGTGACAGGAGTCAGGGGATTTTAAAAGACTTTTGGTGGGCTTTTTGGGGGGCGGAGACTTCTTTATGCATACCCGGAGGGGAGATAATGGAATGTGGTCACCGCAAGTGAAATGTAGTCTTCAGCAAAGGGAATGTCCATAGTGAAATGATCTGAAAAGCCAGTTCCTGAGGATGGGGTATCAATTCAATTGATCAATCAAACTTAACAATAATCTTATACAGGAAGAAGTAATTATCTAGTGGTAAAGCCAGACCTATGGAATGGGCAAGGTTACATTATTTTATTTATGTTTTTACCACTATGCTCCTCCATTGTTTTAAAGTTGCTTATGAGCCTGAAAAAGAGCATTTTCTGTTTTTATTCTATTCTCCATGAACCTATTCCAGGTTGGCATTAGAATATAATGCTTTCACAAATATTCATATTCAACTATTGTAAATATCCAACATGACAAGCATTTTTGATGAATGATCTTAGTCAGCGGTTCTCAACCTGTGGGTCGCGACCCCTTTGGCGGTCAAACGACCCTTTCACAGGGGTCGCCTAAGACCATCCTGCATATCAGATATTTACATTACCATTCATAACAGTAGCAACATTACAGTTATGAAGTAGCAACGAAAATAATTTTATGGTTGGGTCACAACATGAGGAACTGTATTTAAAGGGCCAGAAGGTTGAGAACCACTGATCTTAGTGAATTCTTTCTGTGAATTGTTAAGCATATTGCCCAAAGTTGCACAGGTAGTGAATGGCAGAATGAGTAATTCTTTCCGTGGCAAGAAAGGGTGTTAGTTCAACTGTTAGTTCAGGAGGCTTAAGTATGAAAGCAGAATGGAGTATATAGCTTTAAATGAGGCTAAGGGTGGCATTCTTCAATGATGAAGAAATACTTAGTAGCATTACAGATGAAATTCCTTTAATTTTAGCACTCTGTTACTTCACCACTTGGGCTATTAAATTATAATATTGCTATCGAGCAAAGTATGCTTTGTAAAAAACAGAAGGGAGGTGATCTCAGCCCTGTGCTCAAATGGGAAAAGCACACCTTGGTTCATAGGTTTAGGTCATAAGTAAATTTGAATCACCCCTGATTTGACCTTAGCTTTTTTTTTTTAATTTATCACTAGTACCTACAATATCCACTCTGCTTTGCTCATGAAATGCCCTGAGTGGGAATGTCAGGGATTATTTTGTATTGTGAATACAAATGATGAGGTCTGCAGTGGAGGAAAATCTGGAACAGTGTTCAAGAAGGCTGGTTGGAACATTTTTGCAAGCAGCTCTACCCACGCATATATAGATCCAGTACAGTGGGGCCTTGACTTACGAGTTTAATTCGTTCCGTGACAGAGCTCATAACTCAAATTACTCGTATGTCAAATCACTGTGACGTTCGCTGCGCCAACTAGCGGTGGGTTATCTGAAGCTGGCTCGTATGTAACCCGAATTTTAGCTCTCAACTCAAAGTAAAAAATCGGCCGAGAGAGGGCTCATATCTCAAAAAAACTCGTTAGTCAGGACACTCATAGGTCAAGGCCCCACTGTACTGGTCGTGTAGGTCTTTGCTTTTCTATGTACCTTCCTAGAGGAAATCACTTCCCTTACCTGGGTCCCAGTTTACCCATTTATAAATTGAGCAACTTTCTCTGAAGTATCTCTATAAATCTCTCCTAACTTGATAATTTTGCTTTCCATGAAATACACTTTCTAACAGAAGTGGCTCACAAAACAGAATTATCTTGTTCTTTTGCCTTTTAGAAAGTCACTTAATTGGATGTTAATGTATTTCGTAGAAGCTAGTGAATCTAATAGTTGATGGATACCAGCCTAGTTTGTACTGACATGTTATTCGGCTTCCCCTGGACATGACTCTTCCATATAGCACATCTGGCCCAGAAGTTAAACCTGTTCATTTGCTTATTATCAGGGTTCCGCATACACATGTCTGCCAACACTTCTAGCCCTTGGGAAAAAAAGGATTGTAGAGAAGCTAGGCATTTCACCTTTCTGTTTGTTCTTGACAGGATTGTTGGTTTGCCTTGGAATTTCATGAGCATTGTATGATTTTTATTGAATGACTAACATGCATTTGTTTTTGGAGTATGACAGAGAACTATCATTCTTCAAAAAAAATAAAATTGAGCGCTAGCTGGTTTGGCTCAGTGGATAGAATGTTGGCCTGCGGACTGAAGGGTCCTGGGTTTGATTCCAGTCAAGGGCACATGCCAGGTTGTGGGCTCGATCTCCATTGTGGGGCGTGCAGGAGGCAGCTGATCAATGATTTTCTCTCATCATTGATGTTTTTATCTCTCCTCCCTTCTTCTCTGAAATCAATAAAAAAATTTAAAAAATATAGTTTTCAATATATAAGGCTGTCATTCATTCAAAGATATTAAATGTGTTCAAAACAGAGAAGAATTATTTGTCACAAAATGAAGCAACTTCTTGCCAATTCCACATGGCCAACTCCTAGGTTCCTTTAGGAAATACACAGCCAGCTCTCCCTCAAGCCCACCTTACTCATCCAGTGCTTCCCCATGAATCCATCCACTGTAGCTGTGCTCAGTCTATTTTCTCTGTCCTCACAAGTCTACTTTCAGTGTTAACAGCGGAACTGAAGGAGAGGTTGTCAGAGTCATTCAGATGTGCGCATTTCTTCTTGGAGCTTTTACACACCAATGGTTCATTTTCTGAGTCCTGGGAAGAGTCAAAGCAATATGTTTTATTATCATAGTAACTTTATGTCTAGGGATAAAACTTTTGGTTTCTGTAACATTCAAATTGATGTTCCTATTTCTGAAGCATTTTCCTTCTTTGTTTTTACATAAATTGTCTTCTCTCATACCAGTTTTTCTTTCTTTCTTTTTTAAAAATATGTTTTTATTGATTTCAGAGAGAGGAAGTGAGGGGGAGAGATAGATAGAAACATCGAGAGAGAACATCAATTGATCGGCTGCCTTCTGCATGCCCCCCACTGAGGAGCAAGCAACCCAGGCATGTGCCCTGACTAAGAATCGAACCAGTGACCTCCTGGTACATGGGATGATGCTCAACCAACTGAGCCACACTGGCCAGGCACACCAGTTTTTCTTGAGTAAACCCTTGATGTAACTTCCATGCTGTCATATATCTTGTCTAACAGTACATATTCCATTATTCTATTACATGACATCAGAAGATGATACGGCTAAACCCAGTGCTACTCATATTCTGGAAAAAGGGTTCATCTTTCTAACTGGCTGCTGAAGCCAAACTAGCAATGGAAAAGTGGTTCTGACTTCATTCAGGCCTGGCTTTCTTGCCTTGAACAGTTTTCTTAGACATTTCTGTGTTGTAATTTTTTTCCTTATAGTAGAAAGCAGCTAATAAATAATGTTTTACTGTTTACTGCTCAGGCCATGGCCTATCCTTACTTTTTAAGATGAGTGTTTTGAATAGGGAGTACTCTGGTTTATTTGCCTTATATATTGAAAAATTATTAAGAAATTGCAACCTACGAATCCTGTGGGGGATGGTGACATTTGAGACATGTATGGATGTGCTTTAGGTTACATTTCTGACATTTTGATCCACATTTTTATTTTAGTTATTGAGCACTTTAATATGTTTTGAAAGGGCCAGAGAGTCACCTGTGACTTCAAAATTATTTCAGTCTTTTCCAGCTTATATTACATTCTAGACCAGCCATGGGCAAACTACGGCCCACGGGCCGGATCCGGCCCGTTTGAAATGAATAAAACTAAAAAAAAAAAAAAGACCGTACCCTTTTATGTAATGATGTTTACTTTGAATTTATATTAGTTCACACAAACACTCCATCCATGCTTTTGTTCCGGCCCTCCGGTCCAGTTTAAGAACCCATTGTGGCCCTCGAGTCAAAAAGTTTGCCCAACCCTGTTCTAGACAATAGTAGAAATGATAGTGGAGGAAATAGCAGAGTAAAAGAATAGGTTACCTTCTCTACTTCTGTTATTTAGGAGTCAATGGAACAACCTAATATATTTTTATGAAGAGTTTATAAAGTGTAGACTATCAACAACTGTCAAGAGTATACAGAATATATTAGAAACACTACATATTAGCAAAAATACATAGAAATATATCTTGAGGAGAAAAGTTGCCTTTCAAACACAGATTGTTAAAGAGAACCGAGGCTTTACTCACCTGGAATGGAGTAGTCACTGACCAGTTGTTGGACTGAATTGACCAGTTATTTCCATCAGTATAATTCGACAGACACCTGCCTTTTCTATTGAGTTCAGATGAACACCTCTGTACATTATTTCTAACATCTGAAGAGTGACCACACTGTGCCCTGCTCACAATTTTTGCTGTAAGCAAAATACAATGTTCATTAATCACAGCAGTGCAGACCAAGCCTTCAATGTGTCTGAATGGAGCCAGCAGAATAGGCACTTCTGGAAACAACCTTGCATGAAACAAAATGTTTGAGGTTTTTGTCTTCTTCCCATGTGAAATGACCTTAGCATTCTAATACCAACTTGGGCATGAATCAAGCTTCCACCCTAGCACATTCCTTGTTGTAACTCACATATGAAGTCCCTTGACCCTTTAGTGCTGCATCATTGTGTCAAGCAGTTCTCTGCTACTTCCTGGCGTGTATGGAACAACTTGCTCAACTCGAGTGCGAGAGCTGATTTGATGGCTCCTATAGGCCTTGGGACCCCTTGGCAAGAAGAGTGTAGACAAAACCTCAATAGGAAGTATGAGAACTGAGTGGCCAGCCCAGGCATACGGGTGGTTCAGGGAGAGGAACTCTGAGATTTTCCTTTTCCTCACGTACTCATTTGGTAATGGTCTCTGGTCTGAATCCATCATTCTGATCGATCAGATCAGAAGGGAGTGCAGACTGAAGTACACCCCAGACCTCATAGTGGGTGGGGACGGTATTAATATATATTCACATACCCCAGGTTCTTCCCACAAACCATGAAATTGAGATTGTGAATGTAGATGTTTCTTTTACAGAGCTTTTTCTCTGCCTATGGTCGCAGTCTCCTTTCTAAACCATTCTGACCTCAACTTTCAGTCAAACTGATCAGCTATTGTTCTGCTCAGTGACAGGGACAGATTTTTCCATGTCTTTGCTGCTGTGGGACAGGAGCTCAGTTAATTAGTTCTGTCCAAACTTACAACTGATGTGGTTCTGTACGTTTTGTCTTTATGTGTATAGAAATAGCCAATATCTAGCTTCTTTGTGTTATCTATTAGATCACAAGCTTTTAGGCTTTACAAAATTTGTCTTTTATTTGAATCATGGACTGTACCTCTTTTATGATTCTAACTGAACTTGTTATTGGTTGTGTGTCACAACAAATATAATATTAGCATGTGTATTAGCACAAGCTACTAAGTTTGGGGTAATTTGTTACAGCAGCAGAACACTAATGCACCTTCTAATGCTCATACCAGGCAGTTAAAGTGCCCTGCGATAGCTTTGGTGCTTTTGAGGAGGATCACTTTGCTATGTACTAGTTAATTCAGGCTGGACCTTGTGCTTTCTGACTCTAGCAGTTTTACTTCTAGTCAAGAAACTTAGAGGTCACATTTCTTATCATTTTGAATTCATATCACATTGCACATGCTCATGAAGTTTTGCATATTATCCTGTGTATACTTAGTCCCATTTTACAGATGACTGACTTTAAACACTGATGTTAGGAATTAGAACCACAGCCCTAATTTCCCCAGCTTTCTACTTAATATTCCTAGTCATAAAACACTGAAGATACACTAAAGAAAACTACTGTGAACAAAGATTTTGGTGGAAAATTTACTAAGAGATTGAAGATGCAAAAAGTATTTTTAGAGGCATTGCAGGTGCATAAGGTGCTGTGTATATCTTATGTTTACCAATTACATTTCATTTTCTCTTTGGTAGTTAATCCTGCTTGTTTCATAAATGGCATAAAATGTGAAGAGAAGATAAAAAATTAGAAAATATTATGATTTTAATGAGAACAAGACTCAGTAGATAAAATGATAGATTTTTATGTTTCGGTATCAGATATATTTACACAAGCATTGATTTATAAGTCAGTTGTGCTACAAATCTACAAGTCCGAAAATAGCTAGTCAGCAGCCTGGAAGCTGTCGCCCTATCTTGCCATATCCCGGGAATAAAGATTCAGCAGTCATAATCTAACTGATGAAATTGTTGCTGCTCAAGGCGAAATACAATTCAGTTTCACACTCTCATAGGAAGATGGGTTCAGTGGAGCTAATAGGAAGAAAAAAATGTATTTGTCAGTAAGTGAAAGAGATAGGTCTCAACAGTACAAAGGAAAGATCTGGAGGGTAAATGAGATTTGTTCCCTATGTTGTCACTCTCTGGAGCAATACCATGATTACTTGGAGAATTTCAGACACAGAAGCAAAATGGCCCTAATATGCACAAGCTAGGATTTCTTGCAACTGATTGGTAAGAATTTACTACTCTTGAAAGCAGTTGGTCAAATTTCTTTCAGGAATATGTAACTCTTATAGACAAGCTCCACCCTAAAGGATGGTCAGATTAATTAGAAAGACAAGTACAGGAATAAGTCCAACACTTACTACCAGGTGTATCTGCAGAGATCCTATATGCTCCCTAACCTATCACCTCCATCATCTTCATGGGAAAGCTGAAGTTAGGGAGTTAGACTTATGTGACCAGTCCACTGCTATGCTTGCTCTTCTACAGGGAAAGTGTTAATAGAGGTTAGCCGTGACTTTAACTGAGGAAAAAAGTTAACATGATATACAAATTGTGTGTGTGTGTGTGTGTGTGTGTGTGTATGTGTGTGTGTGTGTGTGTACACATGCAGGAATAACATGCTGCGGTTTACCTCCTTTGACTGAGTAGGAATTTTTACTTTAGCTTTTAAAGGTTGCTTCAAAGTGGGTTGCTATGTTTTCAGTGTTCCATATATTTCACATCATCATTCTTTTCACTGCAAAGAAAATGAACACATTTGAGTAAAAAGCATTTCCCAGTAAATGATTTTCCGGGGCAAGAAAGTTTTAAAGATATTCTATTTATCATTTGAAATTAGGTTGACTATCAGCACCAGTCAAAAAAAGTTTGTGTTTTGAAATAATGTCAAACTTACAGGAAAGTTGCAAGGACAATGTAAGAAGACTTCTGATTGCTCTTTACCCAGTTTCATCCTTCACTAATATTTAATGATTTGCCACATTTGTTTTATTATTATCTGTCTCTGTCTAGCTATATATGTATCTTTATACACACACATTTATTTAAACATTTTTTTCTGAACTATTTGAGAATATGCCTCACAAGCCCTTCACTATTCTGTGTGTCTTTCCTAAAAACAGGAAATTCTTTTACAGAAGCACAGTGCAGTTATCAAATTCAGGAAATTTAATATTGATAAAATCTTTTCTCTAAAACCTATGGTCCATATTCTACTTTTGTCTGTTGGCTCATTTATGTCCATTTACAGCATTTCCCCCTCTTACACAGAAGTTAATCCAATCTCGTGTATTATATTTAGTTGTCAGGTCTCTTTAGTCTTTAATCTGGAACAGTTCTTGAGCCTTACTTTGTTTTCATGATATCGGCATTTCTTTTTAAAGAATGCAGGTCCGTTTTTTTTATACAATGCACTTCAATTTAAGTTTCTCTGATGTTTCCTTATGATTAGATTCAAGTGAGACCTCTTTATAAGCTACATGGGTGATATTGAATCTGTTTCAGGGAAATACATCCAAAGCACACATTTCTCATCTGCCCTTCACTGATGAGGTTAATTTTGATCAACTGGTCAATGTATTATCTGTTTTCTCCACTGTATAGTTACTACTTTCTTCTTGCAATTAATTAGGAAACTGGGAAGATATTTTAAGTCCATGCAAATATCCTCATCTAAATATTCTCATCCATCCCCCTACCTCACATTTAGTATCAGTTGATGATTCTTGCCTTAACCAATCTTTACTGTGATGGTTATAAAATGGTGCTATTCTAAATCCATCATTCTCTCCATATTTATTAGTTGGCATTCTATTTGACTGTTGTCCTCTCTGTCTTTCTCTGTCTGTTTGGACGGCGCTATTATCACTATGGACTAACAGATTCTTATTTTATTCAATGGGTTATAATTTATTATTTCCCTTATTTATTTTGATGCTCAAATTGTTTCAGATTTGCTCATAGGTGGGAGTTCCTTTCTAGTTTCTTGTTTCAAAACCTTGCCCATTATTGTTATTTTATAACTTCCTTACTTTAAAACAAAATACTCCAGGCTCATGTTGTATCTTTCCTCCCCTAGCCCTGGCATCAGCAATTTCTGTAGAAAGTAATCATTCCTTTTCATGGGGAATGGTTTTTAGAAACCAAGATCTAGACACTAAATATGTTCATTGCTAATGTGATATTATTGCTCAGGCATCATATTGATACCTCCAATCCTTAATTTTATTTCCCTTCTTTCATGATAAGAACTCCATACAACATCAACACATCCACTTACTTGCTCAATCCTGAAGTGCATATAAATGATTTTTTACTACAATAAATAAACATACCAAGTGAGAATTCCAGGCAAATTTTGATTCCACATTTCAGGTCTAGGTATTCTCACAAGAACTCTGAAAATGGCTGGGAGAAAAGAATAGAGTCTAAATCATCACTTATGTTAGGACAATATCAAGCCTTTCATCTCTGCTTTATTAAAGTAGCAGACCCATTGGGAAAGTAGTCACTGATGTGCCACTTAGTGGTATTTCACGCCAGTCCTTTAATTAATAAAAGTTTCATTGTACACTTAAAAATCTGTTAAGAGGTTAGATGTCTTGTTAAGTGTTCTTACCACAATAAAATAAAATTTCAAAAATCCCTATATAGCAAAGAAACTTTGGAATATGTTGTACTTCTCAAGCACCATTTGGATCTCCATTTTAAATGCAAACTATTGCAATAAATAAATGCAAAGTAAAACAACAAAAGAAAGCAGACCCCCCCCCCAAAAAAACCCCAACAACTTATGGGCTCTACTGCAAGAATACTCTACTTTTGCATAAAATTCAGAGAGGTTTTAGAATCCCTGGTATATAGTCCTATAGAATGCCCCAGATCTTAATTATTATTATTTTTTAGACTACTGGTTGTATGAAATACCAAACAACTAAACAGGTTTCACGATCTGCTTTCTGGGCCAGATTTCTATATGTTCTTAGTATTATTGAAAAAGGAGCCGCACACAAATGAGAGAAAAATGACAGGAGATAATTTTGAAATATTGGAGGACCAGGCGGGCAAGTCCAGAAGGACTTCCCCTCTGATCACCTTTAATTTTTACTTTTTATTATAGACTTATGCTTTTTAAATATCCCTTTAATTTTTACAAGAAATCAAAGTCTAGTTTTTTTTTTAATTTTTTTTCTTTTAATTTTTTTATTGCTTAAAGTATTACAAAGGGTATTACATATGTGTCCTTTTTTTCCCCGCCCTTGACAATCCCCTGGCCTCCCCTACCCCCCAGTGTCTTATGTCCATTGGTTATGCTTATATGCATGCATACAAGTCCTTCGGTTGATCTCTTACCCCAACACAGGATTTCTTAAGTTTATTTCTTCCTTTAAGGGTATACCTGCATTTCTACTCTATAATCTCCACTGAGCAGATGGTCTCAGCAGACAGTGCGGAGTCCCTATAACCTCATCCAGGAATCTAGCGAGCTGACACCCACCAAGAATCCCTGGAAGGCATGGGAAATAGCAGCACAGATGTCCAGAAAAGCCCTGTCAGGAGCTACAAGGATCCCCAAAGTTATTTTTGCAGCAAACGCCTACACTGAAGGCAAGGGAAGATTCAGATGCAAGTTACAGCCCTACAGGACCCTGGGCCACACAGCCTGGCTGCAGGCAGCTCTGAGGGTGTCCCTCCCTGCTTCCCTGGGCTCAGCGGGCACACTCAGTGGCATGTGTGCTCAATGTTCCCAGGGACAGGCTTCCGTTTCCCTGCTTGCTCCTGGGTCTGGCCCTGCAAGGTACTCCATAAAAGTTAAAAAATGAATGGGCACAAAAGCCACAGATAACAGTGCAGGAAAAAAAAACAGGTAAAATCCTAAATCTGTCCTGTTGGGATGCAGATAACTTTCTTCATTAAAGGTAATCCCAAACCTTTAAAAGATACAATAAACACATCTTGCATTATTTCCTCTGACATTAGGTAGAGCCCCCATCACTACCAAATCCTCTTACCACAGTCGCAGGGTGCCTCCGGCGATGACAGAAGTCCTCTGGGCTGCTGGGGCTTGAAGGAAGGTCACCCAGCCCCCTGAGAAGGAGTCAGGGGCAGGCAGCAGAGCTAGACTGCAGGGAGATGGAGCCGTTGGCATCTCCCTGGCACCCAGCGCCCTCCCACTCTTCCTCTGCTGGCAGTGAGCTGTCACGTAGTCACTGGTCTGTGTGCACAGGCTTTCTCTCGGTTTAAGTCGCCTCGCTCTGCTGTGAGCTCCTGCTCTCTACAGCAGCGGCGCGCGCGCGCGCACACACACACACACACACACACACACACACACACACACACCCTCCTTTGTCAAATATTAATTGAGCGTATTGGTTGGGGCTGATTTCTGGGCTCTCTATTCTATTCCATTGATCTATATGTCTGTTCTTGTGCCAGTACCAGGCAGTTTTGAGAACAGTGGCTTTGTAATACAGCTTGATATCTGGCATTGAGATCCCACCTACTTTGTTCTTTCTCAGGATCGCTCATGCAAGCATTTCTTCAACAAGATGGAGTACAGCTACTTTAGGGTGTGATGCCAACTCTCAGACTACATGAGTAGCTATTTTTCAACAACTCAACCAGCATTAATTACTCATGAGTCTTTATTCAAAATAGTCTTTCTATTATTATAAAGCAGAATGACAGTAAGTATACAAGTTCAAGTAATAGCTGCTAAGATGTCTTCTGCACATATTACCACTCTCTCTTCCAAGTGTACAAATGTTCCAGATGATGACTGAAATGCTGGAGACATATTAGTTTATGGAATGTAACTTACAAATGTGACCATCAGTTTACTGATAAAAACACCAATTCCTGCATGCCCCCCCCCCCCATTGCAAGTATGGCAAAAGAATCCTTGTGGCCTCTATTTATTTACAAATATTTATTTAATGTCTATATGTTATCAGACATTATGCTTAACATTGGGGAAACAGTAGTAAACAAGACCTAGAGACTCCCTCATCTTTCAGTGTTTTGAATGAATTGGGGTAAACATATGTAAATACATAAAATACAAATGGTTTAACAGTGGTTCTCAACTTTCTGGCCCTTTAAATACAGTTCCTCATGTTGTGACCCAACCATAAAATTATTTTCCTTGCTACTTCATAACTGTAATGTTGCTACTGTTATGAATCATAATGTAAATATCTGATATGCAGGATGGTCTTAGGCGACCCCTGTGAAAGGGTCATTCGGCCGCCAAAGCGGTTGCGACCCACAGGTTGAGAACCTCTGGAATAAGGGGGACCTAACTCAGTTACAGAAATCTCAGAAGTGATATTTAAACTGAGATCTGAAAGATGAAGAGTTAAACAGTGAAGGAGGACTTGAAGATAATATTTTCTGAAACAGGGGGAGTGTAATTAAATGCCCAGAGGAAGGGGAAAAAAGCATGAAAATTTAGCATGTAATGGGACTTCAATAGTACAATTTAGAGTGTAAGTTTGTGCGAGGTAAAAAATGTGGCTAAATTTTAAATCAGTTCCCCAGAGGGCAGTAACCTTGCCTATTTTGTTCAAAATAGTATTGTCATTATCTACCATGGTTCCTGTCTTGTTAAAAAAATTTTGTTGAATAATAACAATAAAAACAAAGATAACAGTGATTTATTTAATTATGAGACAGAAAGCATTCTAAAGTGCTGTTGTCATGTACAATTTTATTAAATACAACTACACTGAGGCATTTATTATTATTATTATTACTACTACTATTATTATCATTTTACAGATATGAAAACAGAAGCTCAGCAAGGCTAACCCAATAGCTCAAGATCACTTGTCTGGGTGTAAACCCAGGCAATCTCGGACTACCCTGATTCTAAGTGTCTAGATTCTGCATTAAAGAGTTTTGAATATCCCCTAATGCAATGGGAAACCACTGAAAGGTTTAATGCTTTAAATTTTACCAAGATAACTTTGGTAGCAATGTGAAGAATGATTTAGGTGGGAGCAAAAGTAAAGGTAAGGAGCTATGATGGTATTGTGATGATAGTGGCTTAGATTATGATGTTGGCTGAACAGATAGAGAGAGAGGGTGTGATGACCCACGTCCCATGTGGTTCAGGGTTCGGGCTCTGGAGAAGGGCAGCACGCAAATGACAGAGATGAGACAAGAAATAATAATTTGGAAATTGGGGGGCCAGGCGGGAGCCCAACGCAAGAGGAAGGACTCCACTTGTGCTCAGGTCTTGCCATCCTTTTATTCAGTTTGGGATACACCTATACCCCTTAAGCAGGCAGTTCTAGTAACAGGCAGACTATCTTATCAGTAAGGATTTACATGACTATCTGGTCGGGAAATTGCTTCAGCTACCATTGTCTTGACTTTGCCAGGGCTCAAGCTAGCTGGAATAGAACCTGGGACCCCTCAGTCCGCAGGCCATCGCTCTATCCACTGAGCCAAACCGGTTAAGGCAAAGGACAATCTTATCAGTAAGGATTTACATGACTATCTGGGGGGGGGGAGTTGCTTCAGCTACCATTATCTCAACTAAACAGTGGGTGCATAGCTCTGACCTTTGCCAGGGCTCAAGGGTCACCAGCATTCCGGGCTCCTTGTCCACACCACTCTGCTAGTGAAGACAATAAGCAGTTTCCCACAGAGGTAGTGCCAGAGAGCAAGAATGTGAGAGAGAGAGCAAGAGTGCAAGCGAGAGCGAGAGAATAGATAGGGCTTAGTGATTGAACAGAGGTGTCAATGAGAGAGACAAAGGAATCAAGGAAGATTTTCTGGTTTCCGACCATTGCACAGTTGCAATTGAGTATTTGCAACTCACTGAGAGAGAGAATGGGAGGAGGAGAAGCTGGTTTGAAGTGTTAGGTGAGAAGATGGCAATTACATTTTGGCATGATGAGTATAAGTTCTTTGGAGGGGGGCTTATTTAAGCGGACATGCCCAATAGACATTTTAATGATCTTGCCTCAAGCTTGATGAAGAGATGAAGAATGGAGATAGAGATGTGAGAGACACCAACATACAGCTGGCATTTGTAGCTAATGGGGTAGCCCTATTTGAAAATTATGTACACTGACAAAAACAGAAAATCTAAGGCAGACCCCAAATAAACATCAATATCTAACCCCAAATTTTCCACTGTGTTTAGCAACTTGGAGGTCTTTTTTGACCCTGTGAAGGGGTGTATGGGACTTAGGAGGGAGGTAAAACACATTTCAGTGTGTTACAGGGTACGTTATAGGTAAGGAAATAAAATAAAAGTCAAAGAGAAGCGAATGCTACTTGTTACCACAGAAACAAGATCCAGGAACACTAGGGGATTTGGGGTAAAAGGGAAATCAGAAGCTCCTGATTAGTTTAACAGAATGGACTTACTAGTAGATGTCCTAAAGGTGTAACAAG